ATAAAAATGGGGCGAGCATGCTTAAAAAATCACCTATAATGCACTTGTAAGACAGAGACAACACATGCGGGTATCACGTCCTCTTAATATAAATAACTATTTTGTATTGTAAATATTATAGTATGTAAAAAATGATTTTTAAAAATGTAAAAACAAGTTTGGGAACATCAGATTGGGTATCTTGTTATTGTTTATATTACTTACAAAATTATGTTAATAATAAAAGAAACATAACAATTAGCTACTGAATATAACTAAAAATATTTTTAATATTATATAGATGCTAAATATTTTGTTCAACTGTGTATTTCCACTGCCATGGTAATGAAACTTCTGGTCTTAAAAAATAACTTGATAAATATTCTCACACAGAACTTGCTGTCGATAAATTATGAAACGCTTGTTGGTGTTGTGTTAAATACTGGGGAATATTAATTTCATATTCACTGTTTATATTTTGTGATTCATATAATTTTCCCTCAGTTTTACATATGTAATTGTGAAGAACACAAGAACATTTTACAATAGATATTACAGTGACTCAGAACASGCGATTGGTGTTTCAAAAACTCTAAACTTGGAAACCATCATTCCAAAGGTGCATTTGACTGATTTTTTTCCTCTATTTAATCTGTAATTGAAAATTTGTTTTTGATCGTTTAAAGTCTTTTGTGGATATGGTCTTAACAAATAAGATTTTAATGGAAAAGCTTCATCCCCACAAAAATAATATGGAAAATTGGGACCTTCGTTGTCGTGTGGTAAAGGTTCTGATTGCGGAACGTTCATTCCTCCAATTTCTAACCATCTACCCAAACGAGATAATCTAAACACACCTCCATCGCTATTTCTACCCAAATCTCCAATATCCATAGTGATAAAATAGCCGTCTGCGTCTGCACAAGCAAGTAGTTGTATTGAAAAAAAACCTTATAATTAAAATTTCTTGATCCTGTGTTATTGAATTTCTTTATGCGTATGTGTTTGCCGTCGATTGAGCCCAAACTATGGGGTAGTTGCCATAATAAATTATAACGTGCAGCAATATTTTTCTATAGTTCTAAACTTGGTACTGGTAAATAGGTAAGTTGTAGACACTCCCTAATAGCTTCTGTCGTTTCTGCAATTATTTTACCAAYAGTAGTCTCTCCTCTCATAAAATGTTGAGCTAATGCTCTAAAATTACACCCAATGGCTAAAAATCTGAAATGATATTTTTTAATATTTTTTAATAATCTAGTTTTAATTGTCAGAGGAATTTTGAAAAATATTTTTCACATCATCCGCAATGGGGATACATCCAAATAATAAATCAATCGTAACAAATTTTTTTTTGTGTAGATTTGACATGAGGTTAAAAATATGACAAATAGCGCTACAATTAAAATATATACAACAAATGATATTTGTGAATCACATAAATTATTTAAATAATTAATTCTAAAAATGGTCGATATTAATTAATAATATATAAATGTCTTTAGTTATAAACTGTAAAGAGACATGGAGAAATTTACGGATTGTATATACAAGAAATATTACCAAAAAAAGTGGATCCGCTGCAAAAAAAAAAATATTAAATTCTTAAACATGTCCATAAAACTATAAAACATAAAAACCTACTCATTAAAAAAAATACTTAAAACTAATGATGTACTCGGAATAAGCATTTATTGAGTCATCAATATAACATTAATTACCTATTATTATAAAGCATTTATAAATTTAAAAATATTTAACCTTTAACTTGGCAGACCTTGTAAATCACAACTGAAAATTTGAAAGTTGACTATTTTTGGCTAATTTGAGGTCACCGAGTTCAAAAATGACATAAAAAAAATGTAACTCCAACAGTTTTTAAGTTGCAAGTTGTATCCAAAAAGATACATTACCAATAATCATATACAAAATGAAGAGAGTAGAATTATTTTCAAATCAACATTTTTTATTAAAAGCATTGTTTTGTTGTTAATTAAAAACAAATATATTGAAATATTGAAATATTAAGTAAACAAAGTTATCATAGMAAATTTTTTATTGCTTTTTAACAAAATAAAATAAAATATTGCGTATTAATATTTAATACTTCAGTATTTACTTWGTAGTTAATAGTGTTAAATTTTTTAGAATATAGTTATTATAAAATCATAAAATAAATATCACAGCAATTACCTTATTGCATATACTTATTAAATAAAAACAATAAACAATTAATATGCAACTATAAGTTCAAAACAAATAACTAATTATTATAATATAAGAACATATGTTTCATTTTTTTGTATGGAAGTCATTATAGCAATTTCTTTCTTTCACTGTACATAGTCTCACATTACATTTTGTACAATTAGGGTTGACTTTTAGATTCTGAGCGGAGCGATGAATGTATTGATTTTACCATGATGTGTGTTTTTTTTTTGTGTCTGTCATCACGTTTTGGGGCAGTAAAAATGCTTTAATTTTTGACTTCAGTACCTCGTTCGATCAGAAAGTGAATCTATTTGGTACTTTGAGGGGTCAAAAGTAAAAAATTCTTAATACTTTTCTAAATAATTGAGAAAAACAAACAAAAAATTAAGGGAAAAACGGGAAATTTTACGCACACTCATTTTTCGACAAAATCGATTTTGGTTTTTGATGTAACTTTAAAACAAA